GCACACACACCCACACCTGGGCCCCGCGGCAGCCCCAGGAGACGCCGTTTTCTCCAGCCACGTGGATGGTGATGCCGACGCCGGAGCCGGGTGAGCGCCCGTGGAAACTCTCCTGTGCCCAGCGCCGCGGGAGCCGCTCCAGGTCCAGCAGGTACTTGAGTTTCAGCGCCCTCCCGTCCGCCTGGCAGCCCCCCAGGCGCCTGCGCGGGAGCCGTTTGCGGGTGAGGAAATTGTGCTGCTGGATCCAGCACCGCAGCGGCTCCGGGATGCAGGACTTGTAGCTGCCGGTGATTGGGGAGGGGAGGAAGCTGGGGGGGCTGTCCCCAGGGCCACCGGGGCTGTGCTCACGGGTGCCAGGCTCTCCCCGTGGATGCTGGGATGTCCCCATGGGTGCTGGGATGTCCCCATGGGTGCTGGGGCTGTGCTCAGGGACACGGGGCTGTTCCCACGGGTGCCAGGCTTTCCCCGGGGTTGCTGGGTTGTCCCCACGGGTGTCAGGCTGTCCCCAGGGACACCTCCTCGGGGACACCAGGTTGTCCCCACGGGTGCTGGGCTGTTACCAGGGATTCTGGGCTGTCCCAAGGGGTGCCGGTCTGTCCCTCCCCCAGCCCACCCCATCTCACCTGACCTGGCTGAAGACCTCCTGGGGGCTGCAGCGCTGCTCCCTGGCCAGGCGCAGCATGTCCAGCAGGGCCAGGCTCAGGCACTGCTCCTGCGTGGGCAGGCTCAGCGCCACCCCCACGCGGCCCCCGACGAAATCGCTGCGGGACTGGGGAAGGCAAAGGGCTGGGGGGGGGGTTCCTTGTGCCACCCCCCGCGCTGGGGGCATCCCCTGCCTGGGGATGCTGTGGCCAGGAGATCCGATGCACCCCAAGACCCCCCGGTCTGTGCAGGAGGCCAGGGCAGGGATTGTGTCCCACCCCCTCCCCAGCTTCCAGGATGGTCCCAACTGACTGGTGGGTGCTATGGGAGGAGGAGGAGGGTGGCACAGCCCGGGGGATGAAGGGGATCGTTGTGCTGGGGTTAAGTGAAGCCAAGAAGCCACATGGGACCTCCGTGGCGGCCCCAGGTGTTGGGGACAGGGACATCAACCTGGCAGGGCTCACCTGGGCAAAAAGGTAATCGATTACAGGGTAGTCCAGGATGGGGCTGGCTCGGTCATTCAGCAGCTGGAAGCGGTGAGACTGGCCCAGTCCACACCAGTTGGGGAAGAAGAACCTGATGGGGATTGCAGGGAGGGCTGAACGCCCTGCACAGGCCTTATCAACCATCAGAGACTCTCCAGAGAGCCGGGCTGGGGCTGGGACAGTGACATCCCCCAGGCTGTACCTGACCCTGTACACCACCACCTGGCTGCGGGAGTCCTCGACAGTGAAGAGGTGGTTGGGGGGGAACCAGCAGCTGAGATCCTCGGTGGCCAGAGCGAAGAGTGAGTGGCAGACGGGCAGCACCCCTGGGGACAGAGCTGTCACCTGGCCGGGCAC